GGTGACCCAGCGGCAGATGGTGCCTGCCTGGGGACGGCCCCRGCCTGGTGATTATTCACCCGTCACCATGGCGATGGAAAGGTCAGCAGAAAGATCCCGCGGGATTGCCCAGGTCGGCAGGATTAGGAGCAGCGTGCGGGGCTGGGGGGGGATAGGGCCCTCCCTGGCGCACCAGCTGGGCCCTTCCTGCCAGGCGCCAGCCCCTCCGTGGCCAGCTGAGCACCGACCAACTTTGCACACTCAGGCACCGCCACGCGAGGCTGCGAGTGCGCTCGGTGCTGGTCTGGGCAGCGGGGGGCTATGGGGGGCTGCGGGCTGCCCCCCAGGCCTGCAGCCCCTCTGAGCGGGGTCTGTGCGTGTGGCCGCTGCGCCTGGCCCCCGTGCGCTCCCCGCGTGGGGACCGGGCCGAGCCGCTCACCTGCTCTCTCCCCTCTGCGCAGGCTGCTCCTCTAAGTCGTTCAAGCTGTACTCGCCCAAGGAGCCCCCGAACGGCAACGCCTTCCCCCCCTTCCACCCGGGCACCATGCTGGATCGAGATGTGGGGTGAGAGGGGACCGGGGGYGGCTTGAACCTCGGAGGGTCCCACAAAAACCACCCTTGGCCAACCTCTGCCCTGGCCGTGGGGTGGTGGGACGTGTCCGGAGGGAGGTGCCCGTGTTCCCGGGGACTGGAGCAGCTCTGCTCGGGCAGTGCCGGAGCAGAGCCCGGCCTCATGGGTGTAAGTTGCCCATGGGGCAGCCAGGGTGCAGCCCAGGGGTCCCATCCACGTTGAGCCCCGTGCTGGCAGCTGGAGGCAGGGCAGGGGTGCGGAGATGCCCCCRGCACTAACCCGCGTTACTGCTTCTCCCCGCAGACCTACTCCCATGTACCCACCCACGTACCTGGAGCCGGGAATCGGGTAAGAGCGGCGCCGCCACGTGGGAAGGGGCCGGTGGGGGGTGCAGAACGGGCAGCCAGCCCCGGGGGCACACGTGGGGCCTGCCGGCCTTGGCAGCTCCCTGCAAGCCCGGGCCCTGCTCAGCCCTGGGGGTCGCTGCCCTCCTCCCTGCCCCATGGGAGCTGCTCTCCCCTTTGCTGTGCCCCCTCGCTGCGGGCTCGGGCCGTCCCGCGCTGACCGCTGCACTCTGCTCCCCGCAGGAGGCACACGCCGTACGGGAACCAGACCGACTACAGGATATTTGAGCTCAAYAAGCGGCTGCAGAACTGGACGGAGGTGAGGGGCACGGGGAGCTGCTGGGCGGCCGCAAGGGAGGGAGCTGCCCCTTTCACCATCGCTGCAAGAGAAATCCCCTCTGCAGCACGGCCCTGCCTGGTGGCACAGGAGCCTGGGTGCCCACGCAGGAGCCCTGGGGAACCTGGAGGGTTGAGCACATGGCCACTGTGCCTGGCAGCCTGAGGGCTCTCTCGCTGTGTCCCTGTAACCGGGCATCTCTCTGCTGTCCCCAGGAATGTGACAATCTGTGGTGGGACGCCTTCACCACGGAGTTCTTCGAGGATGAYGCCATGCTAACAATCACTTTCTGCTTGGAGGATGGACCAAAGAGATACAGTGAGTGCTAGCAGCCCCCGGGCTCCCACAGTGTGGCGGGGGCCTCGTGCAGCCGGGAGCTGCCAGGGGGTCTCCAGGGCTCGGGTCTGAGCCCTCCTCCCTCCCTGAGAGCTGGAGAGCACAGAAGAGTTATGGGAAGGGTAACAGGGATCAGCATTCCTGGGGTACCATCATGCCCAGGAGCTGCTTGCAGCTGGAAGGGGTTGAGGGACCCTCTCTACACACAGCYCCGGGATACAGGAAGGCAGATCTGAGCCAGGCCGATTTGCTGATACTGTCGTCTTCCTTCTCCCACCTGCAGCGATCGGCCGGACTCTGATTCCCCGCTACTTCCGCAGCATCTTTGAAGGGGGGGCCACCGAGCTCTACTACGTGCTCAAGCACCCCAAGGAGTCGTTCCACAACAACTTCGTCTCGCTRGACTGTGACCAGTGCACCATGGTGACCCAGCACGGCAAGCCCATGTTCACCCAGGTACCCGCAGCAGCCCCACTGCTTGTCCCCACAGCCACCCCGGCCCTCGTGCCTCAGCCTGGCTTGCCCTCCYCATCACTTTGATCCTGCACAGTGAGTGGGTGCCGCGGATTTGCGTGGCCATGTGCTGGGCAGACAGGCACAAGCGAGCCCTGTGCTGTGGCTACACGTTCCCCGGCTGCTCGCCCTTTTTGCACTGGTCCCCAGGCTGCTGTAGCCTCCTGGGWTTGGCTTCTGCTGAGCGCAGTGCAGGGCATGGCCAAACCAAGAGCAATGGACCTCCTGGAGGAATGGATTCCCAGGAGCTGTGGGCTGTGGGAGGAGGGCGGCAGCCTCCCGCGATGAGCTGACACTGTGCCCTGCCCAGGTGTGCGTGGAGGGGCGGCTCTACTTGGAGTTCATGTTTGATGACATGATGAGGATAAAGACGTGGCATTTCAGCATCCGCCAGCATCGAGAGCTCATCCCCCGCAGCATCCTTGCCATGCATGTGAGTACTGAGGCCCTGGGGGCACGAGCGACACGGAGCTGCTGAGCTCATCACCCTGGGGACATCACCGGCTGCGGCACAGAAGTCCCTGGCCTGGATGCACCTGAGCACTCTCTCCCTCTTGCCTGCAGGCACAGGACCCCCAGATGCTGGACCAGTTATCCAAGAATATCACCCGCTGTGGGCTCTCAAACTCCACACTCAACTACCTCCGAGTAAGTGGGTGGCAGGGCAACCTCAGGTTGCAAAGAGTTGCGTTGTGGTCTCCTCTCCTGCCTGATGCCTCCCTGCCCTGGGCTGTTGGGGACAGAGGTATCTGCAGCCTCGGGCAGGGCGGGCTGCGCAAGGGCAGTGCAGGTGGCTGCGAGGCAGCGGGGCTCTTGCTGGGGCCTGGAGCGTGGCCATCTAACCCCGAGTCTCTGGCTGTTTCCCACAGCTCTGTGTAATCCTAGAACCAATGCAGGAGCTCATGTCACGGCACAAGACCTACAGCCTCAGTCCCCGGGACTGCCTCAAGACTTGCCTGTTCCAGAAGTGGCAGCGGATGGTGGCCCCGCCTGGTGAGTCCTGCTGCCCTCCGTGCTCCACAGCATCCCCGGAATGTTGGGATGGACCCGCTCAGGCCCTGCCCTCCCAACSGGTTTCTTGCAGCCCCAGGCCAGGCGCAAGCCCTGTCCTGTGCACCTGGGGGCAGCGTGTTGGGCACACAGCTCACTTGACTGCTGCCCTGCCTTCTCTGCCAGTGCCCTGTGCTGGCTCTGGCACTGAATTGCTTTTCCTAGCAAAGCAGGGACAGGAATCCTGCCTGCTGATGGGGGAAGTGGTGGCTGAAAGAGGATGCCAGGAGAGGAGGGAGTGCCCTGAGTGCCAGGGACGTGGAAACTGTGGAGGAGAGGGGGAAGAGGCTGTCACAGGGTGGAATGTGGTGCTTACGGAAGGTTCTTACCAAGAGAAAGGGCTCGTTCCTGGGCTGGGGGATGGGGAGCACTGTCCCCTTCTCCCAGGGGTGACGGCGTCTCCCCGCTTTGCCAGCGGAGCCAGCGCGGCAGCAGCCCAGCAAGCGCCGGAAAAGGAAGATGTCGGGGGGCAGCACCATGAGCTCCGGCGGGGGAAACACCAACAACAGCAACAGCAAGAAGAAGAGCCCGGCCAGCACCTTTGCCCTGTCCAGTCAGGTACCTGTAAGCATCCCCTTTCCATTCTCTCTTCCTTCCCCAGGGGCGAGGGGAGGGCTCCCTGCCCCAGGCAGTGGCTAAGGGGAGACCCCAGCGGTGGCTGGAGGGAGAGGACCCTGGGGACGGCCTGGCCAAGCCCCCCAGCTCTCTCTGGCAGTGGGGAGAAGGGGGGGACCCCCTTCTGCCTCGGCCATACCTGAACCGCAGAGGAGCCCGAGGAGGGGAATAAGGAGACGGTTAGTGGGGGCTGGCGGCCAGGGCTCCCCCCACCTCGATTATGTTTCGGGACCGTCTCCCCTTTCAGGATGTGATGGTGGTAGGCGAGCCCACGCTGATGGGGGGGGAGTTTGGGGACGAGGACGAGCGGCTCATCACCCGGCTGGAGAACACGCAGTTCGACGCCGCCAACGGCATCGACGACGAGGACAGCTTCAACAACTCGCCGGCGCTGGGGGCCAACAGCCCCTGGAACAGCAAACCGCCCTCCAGCCAGGAGAGCAAGTCAGAGAACCCCACGTCGCAGGCGTCGCAGTAACGGCCCGGCGGCCGCCGCGTGGACTCAGTCCAAACCGATCTACCTGTACATTTGCAAAGGAGAGTGACTGGGAAGCGGCGAGGTACCGGGGGCGGCTCGGCGCCGCCCGGGGCGCCCGCCACACGGGCAGCCCCCAGCCCTCTCCCCCCGGCTCCCCCCGGCTCCCCCCGCGCCTGCCTTCCCCCCCGGCCCCATCCCGGGGCAGCGCCGGATGGCGGGCGCCGTAGCTTCGTTATCCCCCCTGGTCCCTCTTCCCCCCTGCTTCTTCCCCGGAGAGTTTCTCGAGCCCTCCCCGGAGCGGCCGGCCCTGCCTGCYGAGCAGGGGCACCGAGGAGAGGGCAGCGTGCGGCGGCTGCCGTGCAGGTGCCCGGCGCTGGGTCTGGCACGGCAYGGAGAGCCTCATCCTCATCCTCTTCCTCCTTTTCCTCCTTGCCTGGCTCGTGGCCGCGGTGGGGCTGCCGGAGGGAAGCGTTCCCGGAGCTGCCTTGTGCCCGGATGCTGAGGATGGTCCCCATGGCCCTCCCCTTCTCCCGCTGCCCCGGGGCCAGAGCGCAGCAGGGCCGAGCAGGGACTGTGTATATAGGAACGGAGGCGCCCGGGTGGCCGGGGCCCTCGCCCCGTGCCGTGGGCCCCGTGCRTTTCCACTCGCTGCACGGGTGCCCGCCCAGGGCCCCTTTGCAAGCCCAGGCTCTCGGTACCTCCTACTTTTGTCTTTTTTTAAAAAAATAATATTATTAAAATTGTAAGTTTAAAAAAAAAAAAAGGAAAAAAATGAGACAACCCCCCCCAACACCCCCTCCCTGCCAATCCCTTCCCTCCCTGAGCGCTCTCACCCTGTCCTGACTTTTGTACAGGCTTCTTCTCTTGGGAGTCTCGTTTTATATCCAGTTCGGAGAGCTTCAAACCAAGGAGAGACTTTGCAGACTTCCTTTCTAATCCCTCCAGGGGGTGGGGGGCAGCCGCCCCCGCCTCCTCAGTGTAAATCTTGTGTGCTGTTGCCCCCGCTCCCTGCCCCCCGGGTTCGTGTACCTCGTGCTTGTACATTTCCGCGCTGTAGGCAGTGTGTACGATACTGTTCTTTCAATGTGTTATCACTAGAGCAGGTGCCTCCATTGATGTTAGGGGAAACAACGAGAATAATTACTTCTTCTTTTTTCTTTTTCTTTTCTTTTTTTTTTTTTTTGGCTTAAAAAGAGAAAAAATACCCCCCGCAACATTTCCTTCCAAGGCTTCTTCCAAGGAGAAGATGGGAGGGCTGGGGCTGGGGCTCAGCCCAGCGGCCGGGGGGCCCGGGCTGCCCGTGTCCCTCCCGGGCCTCGGCGGGGGGCTCGGGGGGCTGCCCTGGATGCGTGTGGGGCCCGTGTATGTGGGGGTGGTGACTTGTGTGGGGCCGAGGAGGCGCCGGGGGCGCCTGCCCTGCTCTTGCCACTGGCTCCGGACCTCTGTGCCGGGCCCCCTATCCCGTCCCTGCTGTCCCCTGTCCCTGGGGCTGCAGGGCAGCAGGGGCTCTGGGGCTGCGGGGGCCTCCTCACTGCATCCTGTCCCTGCGCGGCGGGGACTGCTGGGCCACAGCAGCCCCCTCATCTCCTGCTGTCCCAGCGTGGGCCAGGGCCGCCCAGAGCCCTGCGCGGTGTCAGGGGGTCCCCGCGTGGTGTCAGGGGGTCCCCGCGTGGTGGCAGGAGGTCCCTGTGTGTGTCAGGGGGTCCCCGCGTGGTGTCAGGGGGTCCCCGTGTGGTGGCAGGAGGTCCCCGCGTGTGGCAGGGGGTCCCCGTGTGGTGGCAGGGGGTCCCCGCGTGTGGCAGGGGGTCCCCGTGTGGTGGCAGGGGTCCCCGCGTGGTGGCAGGGGTCCCTGCACTGCAGCTATGGTACGATGGCCACCACCACGCGATGGCCACGGCCGCGCGGCTTAGGCTGCCGCGGAGGGGACGAGCCCCGGCGCCGCGCTGCTCCCACCGCACTGTAATGCCTTTTTCGTTCTTTTGCTTTTTTTTTTTTTTTTTTGCTTTCCTTTTTTCTTTCTTTTTTTTTTTTCTCCCTTCCCTCCATAGTTTGTGCCATTTATGAGTCATGTATGGTACCAATAAAACGACTTTTCGGTTTGAGGCTGTGCTGCGCCCTCCTTGCGGAGCCCGGCCGCGCTGCGCTCCGGCCCCGGCTGGAGCTGCCCCGGGGCCCCGTCGCTGCAGGGCTCGAGAGGGGGAAGAGCCKCAGACGGGGGAAGAGCCGCCCCTCGGGAGGCCCCTCCGGTGCTCCCTGCCCGGCCGGCTGCTGGCACCGGCTGCTGGCACCGACACTGACACGGTGCCTGCCCGGTGCACCCTCGGCAGCCGCCGGTGCTGGCAGCGTGCGGGGGGACGCAGGGCCCCAGGGGCAGTGGGGGCATCAGCACAGGGTGCTCGGTGCCCCCTGGGCGGCTCTGGCTCCGTTCGGGGGTGCTGGGCCCTGCCAGGCCCCTCCTGGCTCCCTGCCACGCAGCGCAAAGCAGGAATCCTGGCAATGGGAACGGCGCTGCTGGGAGAGCGCCCTGTGCCGCTGCCAGAGCAAACCAGCAGCGCGGGGCCTGCCCAGGTGCCAGGGCGATGGGCACATCTCCCCCTGCGCGCTGGCCGCCCGTGGGGACGCGGCTTCACTGCTCGGAGGAGGGCGATGCAGCAGGGCCAGCAGGGACCGGGCTGCACTTCGGCGTTAGCAGCAGCCTGGCAGGGTGCCCGGAACCCGGCGAGATGCCACTGCGCAGGGAAGGCTGCAGTGGTGGCAAATCCCGACCTTGCACCGGACACCCGGGATGCAGGGCTGCCCAATCCTGCCCCTGCGTGGCAGATCCCGGGTAGGATCCCCTGCCCTGGCTCYGCAGGGCTGCAGAGGGATGTCCTGCCCATGGCCGAGCCCCCAGGGAGCCGGCAAGGGGCCTGGCTGCGGGCGTCAGCTCATGTCCCGAAGTGATGGGTCGAGGGGGAACTTCCCACGGACAGGCCCAACAGGCTGCACCAGGAAAYGGCATTGAGATATTCCCGGGGGCCGGGTGCCCGCAGGCAGGAGCAGGCTGAGGTCAGCGTGCTTCTGTGCGCTCCAGGAAGGAGGCCCCAAAAAATATCTCCAGCCCTGACACAACCCCCTTCCCGTCCTGCCAGGCACCGCCTCGGCCCCTTCCCGCTCTCCCTGCCCACGAGGTCCTGCCCAGGCTCCTGCGTCCGCCTGGCCCGGGGGTCCTGCCTGCAAATTCGGGGCTGCCTGCCCTGCCCTGAGCTGGAGGCTCCTGCCAGCCTCGTGGGCACGGGGCTGCGGGGCTGCCCCCGGGCATCACTCGGGTTCCCTCCACTGTGGCCCTTTGTGTCCCCACTCCGCAGCACGGACTGCGGTGCCAGGACCCCCTGTCCCCCTCACCGCCCCTGTCCTCCCCCTCTCTTCATCATGGGGGGAGCTGGGGGGACCCAGGTGTCCTGGGGCCGCGTCCCCCCACCCGGGCTGGCCCAGGCAAGCCCAGAGGGTGGCGGGACCGCGGGGGTCACCCAGTGCCRGCGTCTGGGCTCACAGCACCCCTGGGTGCCCCACGCTGGGGGTTTGGGGTGGAGGGGAGGGGAAAAAGGCCGTCGGGGGCCAGTGGGAGGCAAAGCAGGGGCGGTGGGGTCCCTGCCCCCAGGGCAAGGCCAGGGCTGCTGTGATGCTTCCCAGCTCCAAGGCTTAGGGCTTGTGTGTGGAAAACCTGTTTTGCAGAAATGCCCCCTTTGGGCAGCTTTCTAAATCCAAAGGCTGGTTCTGGGGCTGGTGCTGGTTCTTCTCAAAACGCAAAGATCCAAAATTTGCAAAGCTACGAATTTGGGATCTGGGATGTGGCTTGTGCCAGGGAACAGCCGGTGTGGGGCGGCCACAAGTCACCTGGCCGCGGGAGCGTGGAGCCCGGCACTGCTTGTCCTGGGACTGCGCGTCCCCGGGGGAAAGGCAGGAAAGCCGGGGAGGAGGCGCCGTTCTCCCGGTGTCCGGGCCCGCCGGGGGTTGGCGGYTGGGGACCTCGAGCCGGATGCGGAGCCGCGGCGGGGCTGGCCGGGTGCCAGGCRCGGGGCGGGCCCGGGCGGCATCACAGCCAGCGGCTTCTGCCCTAATCACGGGCGAAACTTAAACAAACCATAAAGCGCTCGGGGTGGCGCCGGGCGGCCGTGCCCTGCGGCGGGCGCGCGGAGGAGCCGCCGCGCTGGGTAAGCGCTTCGTCCTACCCCTGCCCCATCCTCGGGCTGCTTGGCGGCTCCCGCAGCTCTCCGTCCTGCTCCGCTGCTTCCCGACAGCCCTCGGCTTCCGGACGGGAGCGACAGGTGGCTGATTTTCTTTTTCCCCGGCGTTTCCTGCTGGGGAGCAGAGCAGAGCGGGCCGGCTCTGCCACCTCCTGCCGCCGTCCCGGGAGCCTCGGCGGCCGCGCCGGGATGGAGCTGGGCAGCGTGTGGCAGCCGGCGTACGGCGCGGGGCCGCGGCCGCCGGCGAGCAGCACGCCGGGGCTCGCGGCCATGGTGCACGGCTTCCTGCGCCTCGTGCAGCCCAACGCCCTGCCCGCAGGTGGGTGCGCGGCCCCGCGGGGACCCTCCTGCCCCGYTGCGTGTCCTCCTTCCCTGCACACGGACGCGCTGCTCCGGCTCCTTGCATGCCCAGCATGGGGGGCCCGCTTGGTGCTGCCCCCSTTGCAGCGAGGGCGCAGGATGCCCGGGGGCTCCCCCTGCCCACCTGCCTGGGACCTCTTTGGGGCTGGAGGGTTTGGGGGTCATGTCCTTGTTTGGGGCTTGGGTGCCCCTTTTGGGTCCCATTGCCTGAGATGTTCCCAGGAGCTGCTCCTTCCTCCCAGCATGCCAGCGCTAGGGAAGCGCGAGGTGCCACGGGTCCGTACGGGCGATGCCAGGATCCCGTRGTGGGCTGGTCCCTGCGGAGCGGGCGCTGCCTGCGGGATCCCCGCCGGCCGCTCTTTGCCCGCTCTGGCCTTGGCACCTGCCTGCGCTTCCTCCTCGCCCGGGCTCGGCCCTTTGCTGGCAGCTCGCGGGCTAACACGTGGCTCGCGGCTCCGGGACCGTGTCCGTGGCATGTGGGTGCTCAGCCTGATCCTGCCCTGGAACAGGGAGAGCTCTGGGAAGGATGGAGAACATGCAAAGCGGGACTGGTGGAGAGGCTTTGCCTCGAGCCACTAAAGTGCCCAGTGCCCCTGCATCCGGGCAGCCCCGGCGGCCGATTCCCTGTGTGCGGGGCTGGGCTGCAGGAGGGTGCATGGCCTCCGGATGGGATGTATGTGGACGGAGGTGGCTGCCGGAGCATCCTCCCTTGTGGCCCCACTGGGGTGAGGATCTCCTGCTCCCGCGGGGCAGCCAGAGATGCCCCCGCCCACCTAAGGCCCCTCTCTTGTCCCCAGAGCTGATCGTGGAGCTGAGGCAGGACCAGGGCCAGATCAGCAGGGAGCAGGTCCAGCAGGTGAGAGGTGGTGAGGGCAGGAGCCTTGGCCGGGCAGGGGACACCAGCGGGTGCTGCCCCGAGGCTGAGCCCCGCGCACTGGGCAGGAGCCAAGGGAGAGGCACAACCCCTGGGAATCCCCCTCAATGCCCGTGTCCGGCCGGGACCCTCCAAGCTGGAGGCAACTTCCCAAGGGAGGGTGCCAGCCACGTGCTCTCGACTCTTTTCCCTCTCTCCCAGCTGTTGAGCTACGAGGTGGGTTTCCTGGTGTGCGCGGCCATCGGCCTCCTCTTCATCGTCCTTGTGCCCCTGGTCGGCTGCTGCTTCTGCTGCTGCCGCTGCTGCGGGAGGTGCGGGGGCCGCCGGTACCAGAAGCAGGGCCGGCGGAGCGGCTGCCGCCGCCGCGCTCTCTACGCCGCCGTCCTGGCCGTCTCGGCCCTGCTCCTGTGAGTGCAGCCGGAGCAGAGGCCCCAGGGCTGGTGGCAGAGGGATGGGGGAGGCCACGGGCGGCAGCTGCATCCTGAGCCCCGGAGCTGCCGGCCGGGCGGCTCTGCACGGGATGGAGGRTGGGTGGAAGCGGCAGCTTGGCCGGGCCGGCAGGCGGCCGTGCCAGGAAGCTGCCATTGTTTGCAGGAGCGGCTCCCGGCGCGGCGGGACAAAGGGGAGGAAGCGGGAGCAGCGGGAGCAGGTCCCGTGGGCCCGGCCTCGGCCCCGCGCGCACCCTTCCCGGCAGCAGCGCTGCGGGGGCCCCGCGCTCACCCCGCCGCCCTCCGCTTGCAGGGCCGGCAACGTCTGCGCCTTCATGAGCAACACGCGCCTGGCACAGGCCGTGAGCGGCACCTTCCCCAACGTCAACGCCACCGCCAGCGACCTGCGCACCTACCTGGCCTCCATCCCCCAGGCACGCCGGGAGCCCCGCGGCCACGGGGAAGCACAGTCCATGGGGCTGGCCGTGGGGCAGGCCCCCCGGGCTGCTCCGACAGCCCCTCTCTGTCCCTGCAGCAAATCGACTTCATCGCCGCCCGCAGCGAGGTGCCGCTGGCGCGCGCCAACCACAGCCTGCAGAGTGAGTGAGCGCGGCACGGGGCCGGGCAGCCCCGGGAGCCGCTGCTGGGGCGCTTGGGGGGCGCCCGTGGGTGGCCTCACTGCGCCGGGCTCTGGCCCTGCACAGGCTGGTGCCCCCATGGCCCCCATGCCAAGAGGGGCTGTGCTTCCCTCCCAGTTCGTTGCCAACCCCAGGCATCCCAGACACCGTTTATATGGGGACCCCTGACAGTGATGAGTTCAGAAACCCTCCGAGAGCCCCCTTCTGCTTTCAGCTGCTCCTGGGCTGCTGGGGGTGTCCCRTGCTGACACCGTCTCCTCCATCTCCACAGGCATTGGGACAACGCTGGGCAACGTGATCATCTCCAGCATCAGGAGGAGCATGAGCGAGGCAGTGGGCTCCCTCCAGAGCCTGCTGGAAGGTAACGGCCCTGGCTCCAGGGGCCGGCACCCTCCGTGGGGATCCTGGGGATCCAAGGGGAGCAGATGCATGTCTGGAGAGCCCCCAGAAGCCTTGGATAGGGCCCCCAGGAGGGCTCTGAGCCCTYGCTGTCTCCCCCAGTGATGGAGTCGCTGGCCAGCGCCTATGGTGACATYGATGGCACCAGCTGGCGCCTGCGGGAGCTTCAGAGCAACTACAGCCAGAGGCTGGAGGAGCTGCAGGACAGCATCAACCGCACGGTGCAGCGCTGCGGGCGCCGCTGCGGCAGCRTCTCCCTGCACGGCCTCGGCTTCCAGGCCAACTTCAGCGTGGTGAGCACGGCCAGGGCGAGCGGTGCGGCGCGGGCACCGGGGCGGCCTGGTGCCCGGCCACTGCTACCCGCTGCTTTTCCTCTCAGATCCCCGGTGTGCAGCAGCAGCTGAAGGCCCTGCGAGATGTGTCCGCCTCCAACCTGGCGGCCAATTTGGAGAAGGTGACGGGTCCCTCCTGCCCAGGCACAGGGCTGGGTGCTGGTGCTGCTGGGACAGTGCTGGCAGCCCCTCCAGCTGCATCGTGCTGCTGCATGGAGGCACGGGCTGGCTGGAGACCAGGCCTACCCATTTTGTGCCTGCCCAAGGTGTCCTCTGGTGCAACGGGGCCTTTGAGCCTGTCCAGGCTCAGCCTCCTTGCATGGCCAGTTTGCCCCAGTTGGCTCCTACCTGCTGTCCCACCATGCCAGGGGCTGTGGGGAGCCTGGCTCCAGTGCCACCATGGGCTGGAGGGCTGGGGTTGCCCAGCCCTGGGCTCCGCCAGGGACACGAGCTGTGCCCCTCTGGCCGCAGGTCAACCGCACGCTGAACGAGACCCCTGACAAGGTGCACAAGCAGTCACGGGAGGTGGTGACAAGTAAGCGGGGCCGAGTGCCTGCTGTGCCCGGCTTGGCTGGCTCCCTCCGTCCGCTCCTCATCCCTGCCAGGGCCCCAGCTGCCAGCGCCAACCCCTCCCCGTCCCCGCAGGGGCCCAGGACCAGCTGGGCCAGATCAGGCAGGAGATCAGCAACATGCCCGAGCGCTTCCCAGTCGAGGACTTGGAGGGCCACAGCGTGGCYTTTCTGGACAACGCCACGTCCACGCTGGAGAGCTACAGGGAGCCCGTGACCGCCTTTGAGAAGCTCAGGTAGGTGCCCTGCAGCCCCCTGCTCCCTTCTCTGCAGGGGCTCGGGAGGCTGCAGAAACCAGCTGGCCCTGCGGCGGCAGGGTGGCCGGGGCTGTGGCCCTAGGTGACACATGACACGTGCTCTTGCCCCAGGTGGAGCGTGTGTGCCCTGCTGTGCTGCATGGTGCTGCTGGTGGTCATCTGCAATGGCCTCGGGCTGCTGCTGGGGCCGCTGGGCCTGGAGCCGGCCGCGCTGCCCACGGAGCGGGGCTGCCTCTCCAACGCCGCCGGGAACTGCTTCATGGCGTGAGGAGCCGGGCCCTGCCGAGGGGCGCGCGGGAAGCGGGGCAGGGGCTGCCGGAGCTCCACAGYGATCACACGGCTGGGGCTTAACCACCTGCCAGGGTTTGCTATACAGGTGGGAGACATGAGCGTAGATCAGGGTGCTAGTGGGAGTCACTCAGGTGGAGATCTTTAGGGCCACTGATGTCAGAGCAGATACATGTTGTAAGGACAGGGGGGTGTCTTAATGCTGGGTATGATCTGGCTGGTTGGGCTGCTTGCTATGTCTGCTCCAATGTTGGGGTGCAGGGCTGCTCCCAGAGCCAGCACMGGTGCTTGCGCACGGGGCCTTGGGAGCTGATGATGTCTGTGTCTCGGCAGAGGGGTCGGYTTCAGCTTCATCTTCTCCTGGCTGCTAATGCTGGTCGTGCTGGTCCCCTTCGTGCTGGGGGGGAACGTCTACATGCTCTTCTGCCAGTCCCTGCATGACCAGCAGCTCTTTGAGGTGAGCTGGCCCCCCTGTCCTGGGCTATGGGAGCCTTGTCTGGAGGTGGCCAGCTGAGAGGAGCCTGTGCTGGCTTCTTGGAGACTCCTTCCCCAGGTGTCTGTGTGTGGATGGAGGTGCTCACATAGGGCAGGCACCAAGCCTAGTTTCTCTTTCGCTTTCCTTGCTCTTAGCTCCTGGATACCCCTGGGTTCATTCCCAACTTCAACCTGTCGCAGGTGCTGGGGGAGGACAGCACCAACATCTCAGAGCTGTACAGGTGGGTCCCGGCCCTGGGCACCTCACCTTTGCAGAGGAATGCAGTTCCTCAGGGCTGCGAGGTGCTGGCCAGGCTGGGGGGAGCTGGAGCTGCCTGCCCTGGCCCCGGGGCTGGTGCAAGGGGTGCTGTGCCCTGCGAGCCGTGGTGCTCCCAGCATGGCTGTGGCTCAGTCCGGTGCCCCTTCCCACAGGCAGTGCCAGGACAATGCTGCCCTGTGGCAAACGTTGCACCTGGACCGGCGCATCTCCCTGGACGAGCTCTTCAATATCACCCAGGTGGGCGCGGGGGGCAGCGGTGCCGGAGGTGCTGGCCGGCCCCAGGGCTGCGGCATGTCCCTCCCCATGGCTCCTTCTCCACAGTACACCGCAGAGATCTCCACGGCCTTTGAGAGGGTCAACATCACGCTGAGCCCCATCTCGCTGCTCAACCAGAGCCAGAAGGACCTGCTGCTGGAGGCCAGCAGGCTGGGGCAGCCGCCTGACTTTGCGCCCAGCCTGGTGCAGGTGGGCACGCAGGGGTGCTGGGGCGGCCTGTGTTTGGGCAGAGCGCATCCTGGGGTCCAATCTGGGCGACACCCTGCCCCAGGCTCCCAGCTCTGCTCTGCGTACCGCCTTCTGGGGTAACTGGCCACCTCCTCCTGTGCCGGGCAGCTCCTGGCCCCTCTCTGCCCCGTGGGGACTGGTGCACCCGGGTAAAGCTCCTCTCCTGGGCTCACGGGTATCTCTCTGCCTTCTCCAGCTGAATCAGAACGTAACCCGTGGAAGCCTCCTGGATGTGGCCGCAGAGCTGGAGAGGCTGGCAGAGCAAGTGGTGAGATCAGAGCCCACCTTGTCTCCAAAGCCACTGCTCCACCTCCCCTGGTGCCAGAGGAGTCTTTTCCTTCCTCAGTGGGCTCTGCTGTCTGGAGTGGGTGGGATGTCTGCTATGGGGGTCCTTGCAGCCCCCAGCCCAGAGCCTGGGCTCCTTCTGCACTCCCCAGTGGTGGGAGCTGCCCTGGGGACCCGTGTGGAGGGGCAGGGCCCCTGTGCCCAGGGTGGGCACAGCTGAGAGCATCTCCTGCAGGGCGGAGGTACGAAGGAGGAGCTGGAGGAGGAAGCCAGGTTGCTGAGGGAGCTGGCTGGGGAGATGGAGGCCAGTTTGCCCGGCCCGCTGGTGAGTGATGCAGGGGCAGTGGCACGCGGTCCCCACCCAACTGCTGGGGTGTCCCCGTGCCTGAGCCTCTCACTCTGTCCCCAGCAAAGTCTCAAGGAGAACATCCACATCGTGGMGCGGCAGGCCCATGGGCTGGAGGTGAGTGTGCCCCATGTCCCCAGGGCAAACTGTGGGGATCAGCACCCCCAAGCAGGCACCCACGGGTGCTCTGTTCATGATGGGTAAGGAGGCAGGAGCGTGGGGTGCCTGTCAGGAGCACGGGGTGCTGGTGGGGTGGGCAGGGGCCAGGGCCGCGCTGAGAGCAGCCCTTGTGCAGGTGCGGACCAACACCACGCTGCAGAAGGTGGAGCAAACGCAGGCCTCGCTGCAGAGGGAGATGGCCACCATCATCAAGAACGTGAGCGCGGGCTGCCCCCTCGCCCCGGGGTGCCCCATGCTGCCCCGTGATGCTGCCCGTGATGGAGCACAGCATGGGCTAGAGCACAACGGGTGCCCTCCCTGCCTGCCYGCAGGAGACACGGGCCTTCCTGCAGCAGCTGCTGGGCTTCTTCGAGACCTACATGGCCTGGGCCAAGAGCAGCGTGAGTGCGGTGGGGTCGGGGRGACCAGGCGGGCTCGGCAGCCCTGACGTGCCCTGTCCCCGCTGTGTCCCCAGCTGACGAGAGAGGTGGCGCGTTGCAAGCCCGTGGCGCAGGCTGTGGACAGCGTGGAGGCCATGGCCTGTGACTTCATCCTGGACTCTGTGGTGAGGGGGGCATTGGTGCAGGGGTGGCACCCGGGTCCCCTCATGCCCCAGGCAAGGACATGGTGTCTCCCCTGGCCCGTGGCCCTCACGGCTCTCCCTGGCACACAGAATGCCTTCTGGTTCAGCCTGGGCTGGTGCACTGCGCTCCTGCTGCCCAGCATCGTCCTCACCGTGCGCCTCGCCAAGTTTTACCGCCGGATGGAGGTCGCTGATGTCTACGAGTGAGCAGCCATGACCGCGTGTGGGTCTGGGGTCTCCCTGTTGCTTGATGGGGGCTTTGGGGGCCATCCCAGGGGTGCAAAGCGACCTTGGGTTGCTTGGGGCCTACAGCCAGCTCTCGCCTCCGCTTTGCAACCGCCCTCAGCCTGGGGATCCCAGCATGGGCACAGCTGGATGTTGTGCAGATGTTGCAGCCTCATGCGGCTGGCATCGCTGTCAGAGGGTGCACTGCTCACTCGCAGTCCCTGTGGCCACCAGCRCCCCTGGGGCCTCATTTCTCCCTCCTGGTGACGCAGCAGCACCCCACTCCACACTTTGGTGCCGCTCCACTGATTGGGGACCCCATACCTCCCGCCTGCAGCCGCCCGGGGACACGGGCTTTGCAGCACCCTGGTGCCCAGCGCAGCCTCCTCCCTGCGCTGTTCATGCTTCCTCTGCTYCCCTGCTCTCCTGCATGCCCATCTGGATGCACTGCTCCCCTTGGCAGCCGCCTGCAGCCCTGGCATGCTCGGGGCAGCGTAGGGCCTCCCTCGCCACCCAGGCCCTGGTGCCTTTTGCTTCCCTGGCCATTCCCATCTCTAGTGGCTGGAGTCGGAGACGCGGACTCAGTGGCTGGGGTGACTTGAGGGAACTGAAACCAGACCAAGAGGCGGCAGAGGCACCCAGGTCCTCACGGGACTCGCTCGGAGCAGCAGCGTGCTCTGGGCTGAGCTCACAGGGGCTGCGGGGAGCCCATGTTATGTGTCCTGTAGGATACCTCCACCCCACCATGGGGTGGGCAGGAGCAGTGGCTGCCCCAAAGGCGCCTTCTGCCCCACTGATGCTGTCCCCTCTCTTTTCCTCTAGGAGCGATCTGTTGGAGATGTGAGTAGCAGTGGCAGGTCCTTGTGTGGGGCTGGGGGGCACAGAGGGAGGGTGAGGAGAGGCACCAAAGGGTCCAGGACACCCTGGGCTGCTCTTTGCTCCCCGCTGCAGGGGGAGGGTGAYACACATAACCTATTTTTGCAGGGCGCCCACACTGAACTCATTCCAAATTCCCCGGGTGGCTCCAAGGAAGTAGCCCCGTCACCTGYGGCGTGGGCACGGATGGAGGAGACTGGGCGCCCCGGCTGGCTGGATGYGACTGCTCTGTCTGCAGCCCCTGCCCTGGGGCTGGGGAGCAGGCTGGGACCCCTGACCCCTGGCCCAACCCTCCTCCCCCCTTCCTGGTAGGTGACAGTGTGCTGTGGCGGGTGACAGGGCAGTGACCACACTGGTGCTCCAGCTGCACCACATAGTGTGTGCAAATGCAATGCCCAGGTCTGCACATGGGGTCTGYCCTTCACACTGCCTGGGGTGGCTTTTCCCGCCCCAGCCTTCCTCCTCCTGGGCAGTGAAGAGGAGTGAACGGCTCTTTCCCATCATGGTTCATGCTGTGACCCATGTGGGCACAGACAGGCAGTGCTGGGAGGGCAGTCCCCATGGCCAGCCCCACACGGGCCATGTGGGCCCAGCGCCGCTCATGCTGCTGTGGCACATGCTGCCAGCYGCTGGCAATCTGCTTACTGAGGCCCTCTGCTCTACGGCACTGTGACTATTTATTTTTGAGTGGAGCCTGACTCTTTCTGATGCTGTGACTTCTCTGGTGTCAAAAAATAAAAGGCATGTGCATAGGTGTGTGCAGGAGCGTGTGATGACTCTTCTGGCCATGCTGCCGAAGGGCACAGGGCTGTGGCAGGGAGGCTGTGAAGGTGACGTGGTGGCAGGCAGGTCGCAGGGGAGGTTTCCCAAGGGCTCCTCTGTCCCTGTTGCACTCTTGGCTCAGCCAGSATCCTGGATCCTTGGGGACTCTGGGTGCTCAGGTACGTCTCACCTGGGGGCTTCCAGCTGGCTCAGGAGCCGCTTCTTGTCCAGCCCCACGGCAAGGTTGGCCGCAGGCTCTGCTGGTGTGCTGCCCCTGCCCGGAGYGCTGCGGCTGTTCCCGGGGCCGGCTGAGGCGCAGCGGGTGCATAGGAGCAGCTTGCCTCACTTCCTTCAGTGGGAATCTAGCCCTCGTCAGCCCTCTGCTGAGGCTGAGCCCGCCAGCTCKCCCTTCATGAACTACACCTGCTTTATCACTCACTGTTTTCAGATCTAATCTCTATTTTTCCTGCTGGAGTTACCTGAAGTCGCACTCCCCTGCCTGCTATCTGCCCCAGCACCCATCCTGCCCGTGGAGCCCCTTCCCTCCCCTTGCCTGCTCAGGCTGTCACTGCGGTGGCCCAGTCCCATTCCCCAGAGCCACGCTCCCTTCCTGGCCCTTGGCGGGACCTTTCCCACCCCCTGGGGTAGCCCTTGGCTCAGGTTTGTCTCCCCCAGCTCTGAGTCCCCCCTGCTTTCAGCTGCTCTCTTGTTCCCCAAAGCCTCAAGCTCAGAGCTGCTTTCCCCTCGGTAGTCTACGCTGTGCGGCGCTCTCCGCTTCGTCAGGGCCTGTGCAGGGCACCCTCAGGCTCCGCTTCCCGCTGCCTCCTTCCGCACAGCTCCCTGCTTTCCTCCTGTGCACCCTGGAGCTGAGGTCTCCCCTTCCCCAGAGCACCAGCACTGAGGCAGGCAGCTCCAGGGCCCTCCCACGTGGAGGCAGAAATCCTCAGGGAACGGGCTTCTCCTCTCCACCCTCCCAGCGTGCTGGTCAGCTTGGTTTCCTGCAGGGAAACAATCCCCTCCTGTAAATCACTGCCCGGCCTCTTTGYACTCCAGAGGGTGCTCAGCACCTCATCCATCCCTCAGGCGTGTGTGCGGAGTCCAGGGCTGGGAGCTGACACTTGGTGGCCCGGGAGGTGGCCCAGGAGGTGGCCAAGAGCCGCTTGGCACCAGGGGCAGCAGCTGCTCCATGCAGAGGTGACAAGGGCTGCTGGCCCAAGGCAGCCAGCCCTCTCCCCCGGCACGGCCGCTGCAGTTCCTCTTCCTCAGAGCCTGGTGYGCCACAGGGGCTTTCTGGCGCCAAGCCCCGCTCTGCGGAAGGCGCTAGCACAACAGCAGCGCTGTGGCTGCCCGCGCTTCCTCTGCCCGCTGAGCCGCGGCTCCAGCCGCCCCAGGGGCAGGCCCGGTGCTCCCTGCTCCTGGTTTGCCAGTCAGGAGCAAAGGGACCAGCTGCAGCTCTGCAGGAAAATCCTGGAAAGGTGCCCATCTGGTGCCAGGAAGGCCCCAGGCTGCAACCCCTAGGCCCTGCTGCACCAGTGGGTCTCCAGCAACGCGGGGGACTCCCAACGCGCCTTTGCCAAGTCGTGCACTGCTTGAGGAACCTTTATTTGCAAAACAAGCATGTCCRCTGTGCTTAATCCCCCCTCAAGAGGACTAACATAGGTCCCATCCCGGTTCTATGAGAAACGGCTCCTCTGGAAGCAGGGACCTTTGCGCTGTGGGCCTGTGCAGAGGCAAAGCCACAGCCGGGACTCTCCCCAGGGAGGCAGGAACAGGCAGTGAGTCCCGGGGAGAGGCTGGAACCTGGATCTTCCCACACGACGACACTCATGTTACACTGACTTTGCAAACAGAGGCACAATATGAGCCAGAAAACCCTGACAAAGCCCCTTTGTGTGCAAAGGGCAAAGGTAGAAGAGATGGGAGCAGAGGGCCCAGGCGTCCTGCAGCACAATCTAAGCTTCCACAAAGGAAGGGGAGAGGCAGGGCCAGCCCCAAGCCTGCACAGGCTGCTGCCAGCTTCTCGGCTCGGAAGAGTTTGGGTAGGGGCTGGGACAGAAAGATAAGGGAATTAGGCTGCTCTCTTTAGCTAAGTAGCTGTAATCAGTCGCAGCTACGGGATTGATCCCAGAGGAATCACAGCGAGACAGCACGCGGAGGCTGCAGCTGCTGGGACACGCAGCGCCACGGAGCTGAACGTGGCTCCACGCTGACAGGCAGCAACTTACAGCCCAGCAGGGCTGGGTGGCCTCACTGAAAAACAAACAAAAAACCCCAAAAAACCTGTCCAGTCTCTCCCAGGCAGGGCGTGGAGGCATTACCCCACCCACAGAGCAGGGAATAGGCTGGGGAGCCTGTGTCTCTGCCCATCCCTCCAACATCTCTTCRAAAGGATCAGGAAAGGAAAAGTGAAGTTATAAAGGAGCCAAGCAAACAAAAGACAAGGTGCTTTGGGCCAGCGGACATTCTTGGTCCAGCGTGGCCAGTGCTTTCCTCTGCAAATGCAGCAGCATTTGCTCCCCCGACGGCACGCAGGCAGGGACGGCGCCCGCCTGCCACGGCTGCGCAGGGATGTGTTGGCACCCCYAGACTGAGCCGCTGCCACGGGGGGGCCTCCAACGGAGCCGGATTCTGTGTTCCCGGGTAGTGCAAGGGAGTGTCCCCGGAGCTGCCCCCGCAGCCTGGGGACGCGGCCGTGCTTCCCCGCGTCAYGTCACGCAGCGTCACCCTGCGCCAGCGCCGAGGGAGAGGCAGTCCCGGGCACGGGGGGCTGAGGGGCGTCAGCGGGCGCTGCCGTGGGAAGGCTCCGGTGCTCGCGGCGCGGGGCGGGAGGCGGGAAKGTGGGGCTCTGCAGAGCGTCCCCGTACACCTCGTCCTGCACGCTGGGACGCTGCACAACCCTCTGCAGGAGCGGCTTGAGCAAGCCCACCGTCAGCTGGCCGCCCTCGCTGGAGAAGGGCACTGGGTCCTCCTGGGAGGGCGGCAGGTGCTGCAGGACGATGCTGAGGATGTCCGAGGCGGTCAGCTCAGCGGGGCACAGCGGCCACAGCCTGTCCAGATAGGGGTCCAGCGCTCGGTGCTGGGCAAACTCGGCCAGCAGCGTGGTGAATATCTCCTTGTTGAGCAAGGGGCTGACCTGGGAGAACTTCTCYGCCACCTCCACCACCTCCTGCCAGCGCTTCAGCTGCAGGAGAAGGCGCACGGCCTGCAGCACAGCCTTGGGCCTCTTGCTGCAGAGCAGCAGCTCAAGCTCCATCTCATCATCGGCCTCGCCGCGCTTGTTCTTCCTGGCCAGGACGCCCAGCGCTCTCTTGTAGAGGGGCACACGGCCCTCCRGGCCCTCCTTGCTGCTATACGCCCAGGAGACGCTCACGCACTCCTGGGTCAGCTCAACAAAGCCGGGCAGCCACTTGGGCTTGAACCGCAGGAAGGAGGCGCAGATGAGCTCAAAGAGCGGGAGCACCCCATTGAGCCCCACCTCGTCCTGCTGCGGCCCTCCCACCACCTTCTTCCACACCTCCGGGGTGGCCCTGGCTACCAAGCGGCCGTCCCCATTCTGCTGCAACTGCAGGCAGCCCCTCGTGGCCTTCCAGGCAGCCTTGGGGAAGGAGGTGAAGACAGAGTTCAGGTAGGCCAAGTTATCCTTGTCAATGTCCGAGTGGAGAACGCGGCTGATCTCCTGCTCCACCAGCTCCTCGCAGTAGCTTTCCACCTCAGTCTCCGGGGCACCCACCACGCAGGTCTTGAGGAGCTCCAGGCTCAGGTAGCTCTGCAGCTCCTCGCTCATCGTGTTCAAGAGCTTGGCGTAAGTGTCCTGGAGGCCTCGGCCTGGCTTCTGCTTCTGGCAGAGGCTGTGCTGCAGGATGGCAGCAAGCGCCACGGGAGCCTGGAAGGTGCCACCTTTCTTGAGCTTCTCCACTGTCAGCTTGGAGCTGCTGAGGCTCCTCCTCTGGTAGTATCTGCAGGCCTCCTCAAACACCATCTCCACCAGGCACGGTTCAGGCCTGTTGCTGTCCTCGGGGACGGAGAGGCTGAAGCCGTAGATCCCTGTTGGAGTGAGGAGCTGGATGCTGTCCTCCTCTCCCGGGGACTCCAGGAAATGCACTATTTTCATGTTGAGGATTTTCTTTTCTATGAGCCTTCCACTGTTCTGGTCAACGAGGTACAGGACGCCGGCTGACACGCAGGCCAGCACGTTACCAAAGGTCTTCAGCTGCACGACATCTCCTTGGGCCAAAGGGCCTCCCTCCAGGTCAAAGACATGCCTTTGCGTCCCGTCTGGCTCCACCACATTCACGGAGCCCTGCGTGCTCACCAGCAGCAGCCCCCCGCCGTTGGACAGGGCACACGTGTGAATGTCCAGCGGCGCCAGCGTGGAGAGCAGCCCCACAAAGCCRAGCAGGAGCTTCCTGAAGTCCGACTGCCCGCCGGGGCGCAGCGCCTTGCTGAGGACGAGGCCCGCCGCGGGGGCGCTCACGGTGAGCGCGGCCTCCTCGCCRTGCCAGACCAGCAGGAACTTGCCGACGGTGGTGGAGCCGCTGGCGGCGGGCACCAGGAACACGTGCCGGGGCGTCGCCAGCAGCTGGTACTCGGGGCTGTTGTGCAGCACTATGGAGAGGGCGCCGAGGCGCACGCCCTGCTCGCCCACCTCCAGCGCGCGGCTGCACACGCAGAACCTGAAGGCGCCCTTGGCGGCGCCGCCGAGCGGCGGGCGCTCCTCGCACCA